TTTTTGAGCACCTGCCCCTTTAGTGGCCTCTGCACCACCCTGGATACAACTATCCAAACTTACACACAAAGATGCTGGCATGAGTTACAAATCCATTTTTACACACGCACAGATATTTTGAGACTATTTTCACTCCTTAATAAACCATACAAAAACATTATACAATAGCAGAAAGTACGATGGCCGCCGTAAGAAAGACTTTCAGTATGCCGCAGGAACTGATCAGTGTGTCGTTACTGGGTTTCAGATGACGTAGCGCTGACGTAAACCAATACAGATGGAGGTCAAGAAGTAAATACAACCCCTTTACTTTAATTGATCCAGCATCAAAATGCCTAAAGCCTGTGTCCTGTATGGTTGTTCCAACCGTTTTGACAGAAAAATAAACATTATTTTCGTGTTTCGAAAGTAGTTGGTCACAAGGGAGTTAATTTTAAAACTTAACAAAAAATGCTTTTATTAAATCAGCAACATAGCATCATGACATTGAAGATAGAATGTCATAACTTTTTTATTAACATCTGTATGACATCCTGACTTAGTTAACCAGTCAGACCATCATCAAGGAACAGGAGGCGTGTTTCATAGTGACTGCAGTCAACTCCACTGTGAAACCATGACAATGTATTTATATCCATTAGGGCTGAAACGATTCCTCGAATGATTCGAGTATCTCAATTATTAAAATTCCTCAAGGAAAATTTACCTGCCTTGAAGCTTCGTTAATTTATGTTTTATAATTTAGCACACCGTGTTCGAGCCGGGACATTATGCGTTACGCGTTGCTCTCACTACCGCCGTCGAGTTGTTGACGAAAGCTAAGTGTTACAATCACAATGTCCAATCTTCAAGTGCGGCCCATGGGGATTTTATTGAGCGATGATAATGCATGGGTTTTAATCATGTTTTTGGGACCAAAAGCATCCTTAAAATGACGGGAGTGATGCCTGGAGTAGGCAGCCTTTCTCCTCCGGGAGCTGCTGGTTCAAAGCGAACAGCGGGAAGAGCGCTGCAGGAGTAGGTAAGCGGATAGACTGAATGGCGGCCCACATTAGGTTTGTTTGTTCGTCCGTCTCTCCCCAGATTTAGGTTCGGTCCATTTCCTCTCGTCCAACCCCCGTCTTCCATTCGCTCGCCTTTAATCTACCTCCATCCTCCCCCTCACCATTCTAGGCCCCCCACTGCAGGCGACATTTCCCGTATTCTCAAACCCAAAGCTAGGCAGATATGAGGCAAGGTGAGAGTTCATCTGTTAAACTCACTGAAGATGAATACATAAACTAAAAACTGGAGCATAGACATTTTTTATAAGCATATTTGTGAACCTGGCTCTTTATTAGTAAATTGAATATATTTTTCAATCTTTGTATAACTTTTCTTTATGTTTATTTTGAAAGTGAGCTATTATTGTTACAGGTTAGTTTTATAAACTACAAAAAAGTAACTGTTAGGGATGCTCAAATATGAAAAATTGGACTGATATTGATATCTGATAGTAACACCAGTGTTATGCTAGATTTACCAATATTTTATTTTAGATTTTTTTTTATCCATTTGGTCGATTAATTTGTAAGAATAATCGATAGCCCTAATATCCATCCAGTTATCACTAAAAACAATTCATTGACTTAATTCTTGTATCTTGTCACATATACTGAACTGACAGCTCCTCTGTATGTCACAGGCCTCTTACTGCGTACTCAATGCATGTCAGCTATTCTGACAGAATAAGGGCCCAAATTTAAGGTGGGGCTTTGGGTGGGTCATTGTTAGACCCGCCCAAAGCCCCACCTTCCGCTTTGACTGGGGAATTATTTTAGGGTGATGTTGCAGGAACTTGAACCAGGCAATAATAATAATAATAGTAATAATGAAAAACAATTAAATGGATTTTTAATAGTTATCTTGATTGGCTGCTAAGATTCCATTTTAATCATGTAATGACATATTTAATGAATTGTGTATTAAATAAAAGCTTTAAATAATTATCATTGACCAGTTTCACCTTTCATATTTAATCTTCCAAATTGTCCAATATTCATGTCAAATATTTTCAATATGATCATTTTGTCATCATTTTCTGCATGTGCGCAGTTAACAATCACCCACTGTTACCAATTCTGCTGCGATTTGCAGGAAAGTAAAGGCTGAGATTTAGTGGTGCTTTGAAAGTTAGTGTTGAGTGTGTGAGTGGATCAATGTCTGACAATATCAATGGGTCAAGATTTAAAGCATTTAGTGTTTCGCTTTAGGTATTTTATGTCACTCTTTAACGTGATATATATCCTGTAGCTACATGGAGGATGAAGACTTTTTGTAATATTTGTCAGGTTAAGCTATCGCCATCTTGTTTGCTCACCTGGAGGTCAATAATATATTTTGATTCGCATCTAGTTCCATTCTGATCAAAAGAACCTCATTGGTTGAGTTAATTTATAAGATTGTAATTTTGGAATAACCCAAGAAATCCTGTTTTGATGCATCAACAGGTTAAAGTGAAGGATTCCTTGTTTGATTAACATTTATAATCTTTTGTTTTGTCTTTGTCCAGATCTCCCTCAACATTGTGTGTATACAGAGGAGGAGGTTCTCAATGAAACAGAACCACAGAGGAACCAACTCATCTCTCATGGCTCTCCAGAAGCTGAGAACCAGGATCAGGAAGGAAGCAATTCTGAAGACCCAGGAAAAAAGAGAAAGAAAGAACAGAAACAAAAGGAGAAATGTGAGAAAACCAAACGGGAGAAAGGAAGAACTGACACTGAAAAACAAAAGCACAAGAAAGCTCAGCCAGGGCAAAAATCATATTCTTGTAAAATTTGTGATAAAACCTTTTCTCAAAACAGATACTTGACGAGTCACATGATAACTCACACAGGAGTAAAACCTTTCACATGTTCAACCTGTGGAAAAAGTTACAGACAAAAGGATTATATAATTTATCACATGCGAATTCACACAGGTGAGAAGCCTTTCTCTTGTGGGACCTGTGGGAAGAGTTACATTTCTAGACGGACTTTAACTCATCATATAAGAAGTCACACAGGTGAGAAGCCTTTCTGTTGTGGGACCTGTGGAAAAAGTTTTACTCGAAAAGACACTCTAGATCGTCACTTGAACGTTCATTCAGACAAGAAGCCTTTCTCTTGTGGGACTTGTGGAAAGAGTTGCAACAGTAGAAATGGTTTAACTCATCATATGAAGAGTCACTCAGACAAAAAACTTTAGGAACAAAACACCTCAGATCCATTTTGGCATCAGATCGAATGGAAAATCTGGTAGTATGGACCACTACATGTAATTTACCCAGAATGCATTGCAGCTTGAACAATATGGCGACATTCCTGTGAAAATATTTCATTCAAATGTATAAAAACTAAATAACCTACAGTACTATTACAGTGTTGTTTTTACTTCTAAGATGAGTATTTCCCAATAAGGTCTATTTTTATAACTAGTTGCGGTTCCTATAAGGTCCCCATCAGTGTCCCATCAGACACTGAAGTTAAAGAGGGGCTCACTGTTAAAAATGATAAATACTATTTCCCCTTGTGGCCCTACTGGGGATAACTGTGAAAATGGATGAATGTTTTTAGTGGTTTATGTTATGTTGTAATTTTAAATGTCATGTTTCCTTTCCCTGTAAAAGAAAAATCAACATATTCAAGAGAAATAAAGGGTTTCAAACATCCATCTATGTGTTATTAATGCATATAATGTTATACTTAGTTATAAAGTTTCTGAAATAAATGGGTTTTTAAGTATATTCTAATTTATTGAATGAGTCTGTAGATCTCTGATACTTGTCACATCTTTGGTGTAAAATGTTCACAGATTCCTGACCTACATGATGGATGCCCACTGGATATATATTAATACAAAAAGATTTGATGTTTCATTTTAAATAAAAGTTAATGCCTCATGCTGCTTAAATTGTGTTATATTTATCTTATTGAAATGTCTCTCCCCACCTGGGGGAGGGAGGATCAGCAGTGTCAAGTTTTTTGACCTCTACAAATCACCTTAGCTTCTGCCCAAACTTGAAAAGGGCTTGCTCCCATCAAACAAATCCAGGACCAACTCTTCTCAGTGCCATCCTTTTATTTCTCTTTTCTCTTTAAATCACTGTACTTTCCAATACATGACACCCAAGCAGGTTGAAAACCTACAAACAAACAAATTACTTTTAAGTCATCAAAAAAAAAAAACTAAATAAACTACTTTCATAAATCCATTTTTGTAAAGCCAGCTAGGTCCTCCGAATGCAGGTTTAAAGTTCAGTTCCTACCAGTGGTGTTTCTGCAGGAGCTTGAAGATGAGGTCTTTGTTTGTAGAGATTATTCCAAACACAGGTGTGCTGAGTTGCCTTATAGGCTCCTGAAGGCCTGAGTGAGTGAGACGGGTGTGCTTGATTTTCTGTGAGGCACGTGCCAGCTGGGTGGAGATGGTATTGCACTCACACAAATACACCACTTGCTGTTTTAACTTGACAAGCAGTGAAAGATGAGATTGTGATTTTAGCGCTAAAACCCGCCTCTTGACTGTAAAATATCTGAAGTCACTCACTGTTTAATTTTAAAAATGAATCCCAGCCTACAAAACTACAACTCAATATACTGACACTGGGCTCTGTGTTACAAAGTGACAAGATCAATCACAAGAAATTAGAATATATTTTCCAATACGGTTATTTTGTAAGATTAAAAATATCTTTTGATAACTAACTCCAAGTCTACATTTTTTGAGTAATTTTTTTTTCCATTAATCAGATTGATGTAATGTTCTAATAATAAATTATGTGTTTCACAGAACAAAACAGAACTTCTGTTTCTTTGACATAAGTCATTGTTATAATTTGCTATGAGAATATGTTTGTACACATAAAGGTTTCCGCATATGGAGACGTGTTAAATTATGTCTCCACAGAAAATCCTCAGAATTAGCAAAAATAAAAGGCTTGGAAACATCAGTTTGTGTATAATCATTCTATGTACTGTGTTTCAGTCGCAGAAATAAATTAAACTTTCATTAATATTCTAAAATATTTAATTCAGTTGTAGGTTCATTGGAGACTCAAAGCGGAACTTTTACGGGGGAACTAAAAATCGTTTACATTTTCTTCGGGACAGTCAAAGTGAAACACGGTGAATCTCATCACACGAGGTAGCGTTAGCTTTTCTTTTGTTAGAAGACAGTTTGAAAACAGGTTTGGTGTTTTAGTTAAATATTTCAGTGTTTTCAGTGAAAATGTCTTCATTTCAGCCTCAGAGAGAGTTTATCAACGAGCAGGAAACTCCTGCTGGAGAAACATTGACAGAGGTGAAAGAAATCAACGTCAAGACCGAAGAAGAGATGGAGGATCAGCGCAGACTGATGGATTTCACCCGGATACCGAAGATC